CATCTAGCGGCTCAAAAGCCGCTCAGCTCGCAAGTCTATATACGCACCTTAAGAAATTAATATTTTTTGTCTTATTTAATATTTTTACATTAAAAAAAAATTATGATTTTTTCCGATATTCATATTTGCAAATTGTCAAGAAATATGCGAACATTCGTGAATGGGATTATTCGTTACCTTCATCGCTACTACAGAGTATAATAACTATACATAGTGAGTAATCTAGAAGCGATTACCAATGGAGTTCCACAGGGACGGTCTTGGATATTAATTTTTCTATGCTATACGATTAAATGGTTTACTTACCCTTAACATATATGGTTCCATTCTGAGTTTTGCCGATGATACTGCTTTGTCGTATAAATCAGAATCTTGGTCGAACCCAAAAAAAAAGCGGAGAAAGATTTCAGTAATATAAAAATTTGGTTTGAGCAAAATAAACTTGCCTTAAATGTAGAAAAAAAACAATTTCATCCATTTACAACCTATGTGGCAGGTTTATCATATGGGTCCACTAATTATATTAACCAATAAGAGTCGGTAAAATATCTTGGTATATTTATAGATAAATATGCAAAGTGGAACTATAAATCGTAAATATTGTTAAAAAATATTTGAGACATTTTGGATACGTATCACCTAAAAATTATTATGCCTTAGTACAATCTCAGTTGGATTACGGTATTTTTAGTTGGGGTGAAGTCTCTATAAAAAGTGTTATATGTTAACTATTGATAAGTGTATGTAGACTGTATTGTTCACTGTATAGTCACGCACAAGCGCCAGAAGCCACTTTAGTGTCTTACTAATTTATTTGCGTTAAGTTCTGTTATATGTACATAGGTATATCCATATGACTAAATTACTCATATGGGTATATCCTTATATAATTTTTTGAATGTTTTGTTTCATTAACGTTTTATACATGTTGGCGGTTTTATGTTATATTTTGTTCCAGGTTTATCATATACCTACATATCATATATTTTCATAAATAAACTTATTATTATTATACTTCAAAGGGACTGTCATCCTTCAGAAAATGTATGTAAAACTTAGTTTTTAATTAATTACTCAAAAACATTGAAGATATTAACATTGGTACAATCTAATTCTGTAATAGCTGCTACCCATATGTTAACTGATCAAAATAAAACTTATCATGATACCAATATTACCAATACATATTTATTTCATTGAAAGGTATTCAAATAAACCTTTCCATAATTATGTATTTCTAATTTTTGAGAAATTAAACAAAATAATTGACTTTCATCTATGATCCGCTGCTACTAAATGCCTAATATTATTATGATTTTTGGACACATAAACTGTGTATGAAACAGACACGATAGTTCTAAATGGACTTGATCTACGTAAATATGTAAAACATTCTTGATAATATAACTTTTTTTTGACAGTTGAAACTATCGATATCTTCGATGGTTCTTGAGTAATTGATCAACATCTGTGTTTAATAACATATCTACCCCTCACTGAAATCGTAAGGGTTAGCCCAGAAGTTGGAGACTTGTATGGAAGAGAGAGGCAGCATATTAGGCAGCATTCAGTAGGCGGCATGTGTGCCAAGAAATGACTTACTTTGGTGGGCCCCAATTACCGTTCAGTGCAGAAATGAAGGAAACCTAGAAAACTTCATTAATTAGGGGGATGATCAAACATCAACCAGAATCAAAATCTCACACTGATCCAATGTTCTTCCACCCTACCATACCCGCAGAGATGGTGCCTAATTGCCCTCTACGAATATATAACTGATCTATGATCTTACAGCTGCAGGAATTGAACCCACGATATTTATCGATTCAAGTACTGACACCTCGAACCACTCGACCACCAACTAATCCATGTTTATGGAACCAAAAAATTTGAAGACAGCCATATTTAACATTTTTTTTATGTAACAGTGTTTCAAAAACTAATCTACAGAAATATTTAATGTTTGTTAATTTACAATTTAAAATCTTTGGCCATGTATTTTAATTATAAACTATAAATTTCCAAGGGTTCAAATGAGGTTTACTAAACAAGTTAAAAATGTTTATTGTAAATTAAAAATACCAAACATATTTCCAGTGACCATTTATTTTACAGAAAAATCTTAACATAGATATTATATTCCAGTAAAAGAAAATATGGAGTATGGAGAACAGAATAACTTGCTGTTTTACTGATTCGAACTAGACAGTGGCTTGGACCAATCGACATTTAGAATAAGATGATCATAACCATATCCATTAAGCATAGATATAGCTTTAGCCGCGTCATTTCTAAATTTGAAATGGATGTAAGCAAAACCTTTGCAAAGTCCAGTTTGTTTATCCTTTGCTAAGTAAAGTTTCTGAATTGGTCCAAATGGTTTTACCAGATCTTCTAAATCAGTTTCAGTTGTAGAGTCACTGAGATTAGCAATGCGAATAGCTGAGTAACTGTCGTCTCTTCTGGCCATGCTAGGACCATCTGTTCTTTTTGTCGCTCCATCTCGCATGCTAGGAGGAATATATTTGGAACCTCCCGCCTTTCCTGAATCGCCGCTTGAAGTTGCTAAAAAATGATTCCTCATTCAATTTTCAATGAGGTAATTTTTGATACTTAGTTGTTATTCATTTTTTGGTAGTTGATAGTAGGGCCATCTTAATTTTTTTCATACTTGATGTGTCAGTGATCTTTTATCTCTTACTGTTTTTCTGGATTATAAGTCAATTTGTGAGGAAACCAATCTATTTATATAATCATTAATGTTTAATTTTTTGTTAACATATAAAGATAAAATTACTAAATATTGATTCATTAATGCATGTGAAAGAGGTTCCATTGTGGCTAATTAAAAAGAACATGGACGTAAAAAGGACATTTGTCTGCAAAATTTTGGTATTTTGATTTGCCAAAATTCTGCAATATAGAAATATTTATAAAACAGGTGAATTTACCAATGCAATTTTAGATTTTAACATTTTGAAAGATTATATACAAAATAAATAACTAAATTATTTCAAAATCTCTTACCACCGCTAGGAGCTGGCGCTTTTTTATCATCTGGAACTTTCCCTCCTGCCAACAAAGTATCTTTCCATGGGCACATGGAGGTCCAATGATCTCCATTACATGACCGACACTTCACAACGTTTTTGTCACCCAGAGCTTAAAAGAGAATCGTATAAGTGGATAAAATAAAAAACTGTATCACAAAGCACCTTTCAGTTTGTCAAGTCCATCATCTTCTTGTTTATTATCTTCCTCTTTGCTGGTTATATATTGCATGTAAACATCTTCTCCTACTATCGTTGTAGCCGGATCAGGGCCAGGTTTATCATTAGCGGACTCTCCAAACTTTTTCCAAGTTTTTCTTAGAGCGATAGATTTAGAAACAATACGTTTTTCTATTTTGTACGTACGCACGATCTTTATTTTTTTATCATCTTCATTGTACTTATAATCTGTAACAATCTTATACCCATTTTCATATACTTTTGTAGAAGGTGGCAGCGAACCTCCTTCCAACTCAACCTCATCTGCCCAACTGGATTTCACTTCTTCTGCCGCCGGCATTTTTTAAAATATTTTCTGATTAATCTATTAAAATATGTGTTAAGGAGCACGTTCTTCCAATAATCACATATGTACAAAATACGGAAAATAAAATGACAGGAGAGAAGTATAATTTTTTTAGCAAATCCCCTTCTTCTTCTCTATTTAATTCTGATGGAGAAAATTAGTAGACTACCACAGGTTAATATACAAAAGGCGCGTTTGGCTATCCAACTCCGCTAACTCTTTTCACTCCAACCCAATTCGTTTATTACAATTAGAGTGACTAGAGCAATTTATTNAAATGAATAGTTGATTTTTAATTTTTAGCGCGCTCGCTATGCTTTACTGGGAACTGTTCATATGAAAATCTATATGCGAAGAGCTGGATTTCTTCTTCCTCAGCTTATGTGCGATAAGAAGGTATACTGAACGTCGTCATCCAAAAAAGGCATTTTAGTCGTTTTTTTCCTTTAGAATGTGGATTTAAATTATCGTCCCAAGGCATTTGTGGCATGGTTCGTTTTTTTCATTTTTTGCTTATTTTACCACTTATTAATGAAACAAAAACCTTGCCAAAGGGCCAAAATTAAGGGGTTATTTTTATGAAAATAGTTTTGCATAGTAATAAAAAAAATCACTGAAAAAAGCAGGCAAATATAAAACACATCACTTTTATATCATGCACTTTAAAAGTCGTTTAAAATATCTATCTGTTTTTATCTTCTACACTTATTTTGACTTTTTGTAATGTTCCTAAAATTTAAAAACCTAAAAAAAACAAATGTTATGCTGCTGTATAAAATTATCTACCTACATAAAATTTATGGTCAATGTAAATGGTCCAAAATTTTATTCAGCATCGGTTTGATTACTGTACGGTCAGGGCCGGATTAACCTATGGTGAGGCCTGGGGCTACAAGCTCAACGCAGGCCCTCTTTCTAAAAAAAAAGACGATATTGAATTTCAAACCTAAACAGATTTTTGTTTGATGCTAAAAAAAAAAGGTCACTCAATCAGCAACTTGTGAGGTCTAGGGCTACAAGCTTCCACCTAGATCTGGCCCTGTGTACGGTATAGATTCATTTGTTTCAGATGAAAAACTGTTGCCATATGCTGCCATTTGCACATCATCAATGACTAAAAAATGGCACTATTTATAACACATTACGATTAATTTGTTCGTCCTCAAGAATCTGGAGGTTAATTTCAAAAATCACTTTCTTAATAATGAAAATTGATATAGCAAAAACTACATAATGTGATTTTGAATGAGATTATCTCTACATGTTTTCCATCAATCTCCTTATAACTTCTTTTCAAGGATAGGTATACATCTTTGAAAATATATACATTATTGCCACAAACCTACAAATGCGATCATTATCCAAATAAAACAAACAGCCGATAACTTATATCCACATAATGAGCTAGATCACATAAGCAAAATAGCACAAATACTACAGCAGATGATGGCTGACCCGGTTATTTAAAAACTGATTGAAGATTGAAAAATAATATGACTTATGAAAGTTATAGATAATAGATTATAGATAGTAGGTAACTCCAGAGAGAGTTGATCAGTTAATTGGAAAGCCCCTATGGAAACCTCAAACTTTTGCCACTTGTTGAGAAATGAAAACAGCAAAACAAATTTGAATGAAACCAGTTCAAGATTTTATTACTATTAATAAATCAATTGTAACTATAACGTAATTTGATAGGAACGGATTTTTTTCAATTCTACAACTGAAAAAGTAAACTCTTGCCTCTTAAAATTAGTCTCACAGAATCCACTTTCAGTCTTAATCCCACATGAATAAAAATATTTATATTTTTTAATCACCTCTTTTAATTTTTTATCTTCAATTTTAAAAATAAGCAGTTCTTAAAAAGTTTATAATTACAGTGGCAAGTGGTAAAAATTAAAGTTCTCATATTTTTGTAATAAAATATGAGATCCATACCATTTTTTAGGGAATTATTTTGAGCTCGCAAAGAAAACTTTTATGATGTAGGTACAACACTATGAAAAGTGAAAATACAAAGAAAATTAAATTTTGTGAAAAGTAAAAAAACAGTAGTTGATCAATTGATTATGAACAAATATTGCACCCTTTTCAAGCTCTTGCAAATTCTGTTTCAAATTTTTTCATCATGATAGTTGTCTTTATTAGCATAGAAATCATCCCCTAAAAAATTGTATGGAATATACTTCATTATCAAAATATGACCACTTTAATTTTCACCAGCATCCATATATGAAATGCAAAATAAAATATAGGTAATGATAAAATCTCACACAAAATATCTAATCAAATAAATCAAAATCCATCAATTCATCATTTTGAATGGGTTGGACCGGGATAAAATTAACAGCAGCATTATAGTTTTATTTCTATTCCGCATATGTGGGGGAATATATTTAGAACCACTATTAGGAATTCTATGTGCTTCATCACAAGAAGGCACTAAAAAAGAAACAGTATTAAATAAATGTATTTATAAAAAAATTATTTTTGCACTTTATTATTTTTGCATCCATCATTAATATAACATTATATGGAGTGGTAACTTACAAATCATCAAATTCCACAATTAAAATTATTATCATTTAAAACTGATTTGCAAAACAATAATTATACTGAGATTTGTAATATAGACTAAATGTAATATGATCAAAAGTCAGCATTAGTTTTATTGGCAGGTACGCATATATACTTAAATTCTCTTACCCCGTTTGTTCCTTGCTCTCTCAATGTTGGACGCTGAACTTGGACCTACAAAATCTTCATCAGGAGATTAAAAAATATATACTACAGGAAAATGTTCCAATAATAATACATGGAGTTATATTGTGGACTTTAAATAAACTATATAGCATAGATTATAATATCACCATAGGTACACATAGGTACAGGGTGTTTTCGTAAAAGTGACATTAGGATAAATCAAAACGTACTAATTTTGGGAAATATACAATTAACTATTCCAAAGTCAACCAACTCCCTTAATATACATTGGTGTTCAGAAAATGATTAGGTCATATCAAGTTACCCTCACAATTTTGGTTCCAAAAAAAGTTATAGCATTAAAAGAATTGTTATATCACATTTTAACAAATCAAAATTTTTTAAGTAAAGATTGTACAAAGGTAACTTGATAAAAATCGATTTATTTTCATCCAAGACCACCCTTAAAGTATGACCCCTTAATAATTTCCCGACACCACATATACAGGGTGAATCACTTTTTATGATTAGGACTTTAACCATCGATAGATCTCGTCAAAATAATGTCATTTAGAAGTATACACTTTTTCTTCCAAAAGCTTCATTTTAGAGATATAAGCTCTTGAAAATACATTTTTTTTTGGTTTTTCTTAAACTATGAAAGCCATTTGTTTTATATTCAGTATGAAGAATGAATGAGAATGAAAAGCTCTATTTTTAATATAATTTCTATGCCACTGGGAATTTTTCAAAGTGAATATATTTTTTTACATTGCGATTATGGATTATGTACCTTTATTAAATTTCAACACATTTCGTTAGTTTGGAAAAAATATTGCTAAAAAATTATTTGTTTTTAATTATGTTCTATAAACCCCTAAATTTATGGTATCTCTCCAAAACACCCCGTGTATTATTTAATTATTATAAAAAATTGAAAATGGAAAGATTTCCAAAGCAAATAGTAGATAAAGAGTTGAAGTTAAAAACATTTTCCCTTCTGTGCAACTTCAGAAAATAGTTAACGTATTATCATTAAGTTTAAAGTAAATTTTGTTCTATAAATAAATTTCCAAAAATTTGTTACAACAAACAAAAATATAAAAACAGTGTTTTGTCCTTGCAGGCTAGCAAAAACAATTTCAATGCTCTTTTTCAACATTTTCAACTAAAAAAAAGTTATAAAAACATCAAAATTATTCATAACTGGCATTGCCAATTTTATTGATGGTTATGGAGATAACACACGGACACAAATGGAAATTGTTCACTTATTTCATGAAAGATTTCCAAATTTGTCGCCTATATTCCAAGGGACAATTAGTAAAATAGAAAAGCGGTTCCCCGAGGTTGGACGGAAGGCAGACAAGAAAAAGCAGCTGCCAATTGCAATAAGTGATGATACCAAATTGGATATTTTGCTTGAGTTCGAGGAAAACTCACATACTTCTAGTCGAACAGCAGCCCCAATGTTTGATCCATTCATGGATTATTTGAATATTAAAAGAAAATAAAATGCATTCCTATAAAATGAAACCAACTCAGGAGCTCATGGAAAACGATTTTGATAGGAAAACGTATTTTTGTGAACAAGTGATGGCAATGTTAGATAACAATGTGATCCAATTCGAACAATGTTTTGTTTTCTGATGAGTGCACCTTTACACTTCACGGTCATAATAATCGTCAAAATTGCAGCTATTGGTCTAATGAAAATCCTCACTGGATTACAGAAGAACATACACAATACCTTGAAAAGGTTAATGTTTGGGCAGGAATTGTTAGAGATCATATCATAGGTCCCTTTTTCATTGATGGCAATTTGAATAGCGATAATTATTTAGCACTGCTCCAAAATAATGTTACGCCAATTTTGACAAACCTATATCCTGATCCAGCAAACCCGCAAGTTCCAACGAATATGACATGGTTTTCGCAAGATGGAGCACCGCCCCATTACCAAATCAATGTCTGGCAGTACTTCAACCGAATATTTCCGAGAGAATCGATGGAATGGAGAGCACGATCCCCTGACCTGACACCATTAGACTTCTTCTTATAGGGATGTCAAAAGTATTGTATACAAAACTAAACCCTTCAACTTCACTGACTTAAGAAGAAGAATAACGCTTGCGATTAGATAGGTCAGGCCTGAGATGTTGAATAACATTAGAAGAAATTTCTATTTAAAATTAGGGTGTTGCCAAGACATTCGCGGCTAGCATTTTGAACATCTCCTACACTGACATTAATGTTTTTTTTTTGCTTTTTTACATTATCTATAAATAAACAGTTTTACTTATATTAGTTTTTGTGTGTTGTAGCGTATTTCTGTAATCAAATAATTTTCTTTTTTTAATGTTAATTTTTGCAATAAATCTGAAAACACTTAATATTTCCGAAAAGTTGAAGATAGGTATAGGACATTGTACATCGAAATGTCTAAATTTTTCTGAAGAATCAAAAAATTGAATAATATACAGGGTGTTGCATTTAAAATAAGAAAGTCGCCACTGTTACATGACACACCCTGTATAAAGTTTTTGTTGAAAAAAATGCACAACAAAAAATACTAATTGATGTGTCCGAGCGTTTTTTCGAACAAACTCCTATTTATTTATTATTGAATGTAACACCTCTGAGAATGCTCTTCTGCAGTTCAACAAGTACAAACACGTGCAGAAGGATGGTTAGCAGTAGGTGGTGGACATTTTAAACATCATTAATTAATTAATATTAAAGTTTGCTTTTCATTTGCTTACAATTTTTTTGACAACACGATAACTGGAAAAGCAGTTGTCTGATCGAAAAAGTTTAATAAGGTTTTCTATTCAGTTTTTGCTCTAAATTAACCTCCCATTCTCCGTGTCCGCGAATTTCGAAACACCCTGTATATGTACAAGTGACAGACATGGTTTTATCCGACAGATATAATGGGATAATTTTGTCATAAATACCTATTAATTTAATATAATAAACATAGATCTTACGTTTTCTATTTAAAGCAGATTGTCTTCTTGCGAGTAAACCATCCAGATTTTGACGGGTATGTGTCTTTAGTACTAGAATATAGGTCATTACTAGAATATACCTATTGTATTGTGAACAAAAATAAAAAAGTACTATACCTGTACCTGTAGTTCCTAATAAGCGAAGGACTTTGTTATCTTTTCCATATATGCGATATTTTAAATTTGGGCCGATTAGTTCAATTTCTAATTTGTTTGAAATATAAATATGCCCATTTAAAGTTTGTGTCATTTTCAAAGCATCATAGCTGTTCTCAAAAACTACATAACCATAAGAGGTTTTAGTTTTATCATCTCTTTTTAAATAAATTTTCTTCACATCTCCTTCAGGCCGGCAATTGATTAAAATACAATTTTTTAGTATTTCTTCCGTAAATGTGTCATCAAGATTTACTATTCTTACCACATTACTATCCCCACTCGCCATTTCCTGAAATAATTTCTACGATGATAATCTGATTACTACACTGTATCAAGTAGTCCATCCACTGCATTAAAGTGAAGGAGGAACCAACTTCACCAGGTTGCGTCCAGGCCTACAGTGATGAGGCAGGACAAAGAGGGATATAATCCTCCTCGGTTCTAAATTATTTAGGTATTTAGGCCACCAACATCGCCAAAAATAACGGCGCGAGGAACTAAACCCCTTTTACAAGAATATAAGTAGAAAGGTATTTCACAATTTCGTACAATCCAATCTTATGCTTAAAATTATATATATAAACACAAAAAGATTATTTTACGGCAATGCAGAAAAATTATGAAATTTACCTTACCGCGTATGTAATTATAAAAATATTTTGGGGTAGTATCTACAGCAATAAAATAATAATGTAACTTTCAATTTCTTGTAAATTTATAGATTTCATTACCTACACTGCAATTCAAATAAGGCAATGTAGTTTATATGCTACTACCTTGTCATTTTAGTAAAGTAGATTATTGCATATCTGTTTATTTCTCTTAATTATGTCACATCATCAGTATAGCATTGTTTTAATAAAACTATAAAACGTATTATTTTTAATATTCCCATTTATGGTCTTCAAAAATATATTAATGTAGGCACTTACACTAAATGTGGTTTAATAAACAGAGCACTTAGCAGAAATAATTAAATGGAAGTAGTCAGTACTAGTCACATTATCATGTTCTGTTTTCTGTAAGTAAAGTACCCAAAACGTCTAATCAGCAGTGTTGACCATCAGTCGAATAAAACCAGTGGAAACACAAAATACCTAATAAATTATCATGATTGGACGGACAAAAATCACTAATTTTCCGCGGGAATTCTAAAATTTAATTGCACTGTTTCTTAACTTTAAGATTTTAAATATAAAATTGCCGTTGTGATTTCTATATTACACACACCTTCAACATGTAAAGAATATTTTTTTCCATTTATAGGCAAAATGATTTAAGAATTATTTTTTATCATTTCATTATACAACTAAATATTTTTAACCATGATTTTTGTGTATTTTGCCTTTCATCTACAAAGATTTACATCTCAGCCACATGTAGAAAAAATATATTGTTATAAAAATAATAGGGCAAATAAGAAATAAAAAATACTACAAAATTTGTATAAAACCGCATAGTCACATTTTCTTTATTAAACTCTATAGGTAACAAAAACAATGATGCTACAAACCTGTTTGTGAACGTCAATAATTGCTAATTTATAACGTAGAACCTGTCAATGCATTTGGCTAAGCATTTTAGTAACACAGGTAAAAAAAACTTTACTAAATAAAACTTTACTAAAAACGTTTTATTGTAAATTAAAAATACCAAATATATTTCGTATGACCATTTATTTTACAGAAACATTTTAACATAAATATTATATTCTACTAAAAAAATGAACAGAATAATTTACTGCTTTATTTTTTCGAACAAGACAATGACATGGACCAATCAACATTTAGAATAAGATGATCATAACCATATCCATTAAGCATAGATATAGCTTTAGCAGCATCATTTCTGAACTTGAAATGGACATCAGCAAAACCTTTGCAAAGTCCAGTTTGTTTATTCTTTGCTAAGTAAAGTTTCTGAATTAGTCCAAATGGTTTTACAAGATCTTCTAAATCTATTTCAGTTGTAGAGACATGGAGATTATCTATGCGAATAACTGAGTAATTGTCACATCTTCTTGCCTTACTAGAACCATCTGGTCCTTTTGTTGCTTCATGTCGTAACGAAGGGGGAATGTAATGGCAACGTACCACTTTTCCAAAATCGCTGTCTGATGTTGCTAAAAAATAAGATAAAACCTTTTTCAAACTTTGTTGGCATTTTTATTTTGGGAAGTTACAACTTAATTTAGTATTATTGTATCTTAACAACCTTTGCATCAGGTTGGCCCTTGGTCATAGGGTTGCATAAAGAAATAGTTAGTGCGGAAATGTATAATAAACAAAGAGTTGCACATTATGATTGTGTGTATGAGGCGGGCTCTAGTCTAACACTGCAAAAATAGCTCCCTTCTATTATCTTATACATTTTAATAATAAAATGCTGCATATATTAAATATTACATTTTGAAAGATTAAATATAAAACAAATATCAGTAATTTCAAAATCTCTTACCGCTAGTAGCATCTGGCACCTTTTTGTTACAATATGGACACTTCACAAAATTTTTGTCACTCATATTTTTGTTGCCTTCAGAAATATATTATTATCAAAGAGAATATTAATTAATTTAGGTATGTTCTTACACTTTAAGGAAATGTATTACAACAAAAAACAGATTAAAATGCAGGAACATTAAATGTAGAAATAAGTATGATGGAAACTTTCCGTCTCCAGTTTCGGTGAAGTACCCGGTACACAAATGTCTTGATATCTTGATATGAAAAAATGGCAGTTGTATGATAGAAAAAGGATTATATAGGTATAGTATATCCTTTTCTATGGTTGTCTCATAGATTAATACAGTTGGGTTGTATTATATGTTTGATGGTGGGAGGGAGTGGAGCTATAAAACTCTTTATAATTAAAATGATAAAACAAGAATTGCTATAGGTTTAAGCGGGAGTTCTAAACATCTCGTTTGATTTTGTATTTTATAAAATATTAAATTATTATTAGTACCATTGTTTATATAGTGGTGTAACTATATAAACAATGTTAGTAACATATTTTCTTTTATTTCTAATAATTTTGTAAATCATGTAAAAAAAATATTTCATTATGTAACTTGATATTTCTAACTGTAGTATCTGTACCTATATTGATATATAAAAAAATACATTAAAACAACAAAAATATATTTTGATGAAGTGCCTACCTACAGTACCTACTATAATAATTTTGAGTCAAATGTCCCGCAAGAAAAAATCAACTTCATACACATATCTACAGAGCCTTTATAAACAAGCCTACAGAGAGTAGTGATGTAAATTTTTAGTCGCCGATATTCGCGAGTGCGAATACGAGTATTCTGTTTTATTGTTTTATTAACTAATATTAAAGTAAAGGCTGAAAAAGATATAATTGCACAATTACCTTAGCAAAAAACTAAGTTATTTTTTAAAAATGGAGTAAGAAAAAAACTTTTCTAATGCTAAAGCCGCATATAGACTTGCGAGCTGGGCGGCTCACGAGCCGTTCGTGGAAAAATTGAATGCCCGAACCTCCTATGAGCACTAAATTACGTGAGCATCTAGCGGCTCAAAAGCCGCTCAGCTCGCAAGTCTATATACGCACCTTAAGAAATTAATATTTTTTGTCTTATTTAATATTTTTACATTAAAAAAAAATTATGATTTTTTCCGATATTCATATTTGCAAATTGTCAAGAAATATGCGAACATTCGTGAATGGGATTATTCGTTACCTTCATCGCTACTACAGAGTATAATAACTATACATAGTGAGTAATCTAGAAGCGATTACCAATGGAGTTCCACAGGG